GGGTGTCCGTGGGGAAGACATCGTGGACGTGGACAAGCTGGACTGCGAGATGAGCGCTGCAGACTGAAGTGGAAGGAGGCCTGGTGTGGGTGGGTTGTAGCGGAGGCTTGAGGAGACGAGCCGCACCAGGGTGAGTTACTGTGTGCAAACTGTACCTCCGCAAGTCTGACTCCTCAAAAGTAACACGGTGTTCAAGCAAAACCAGTCAGTTTCAGCAAACCGTGGGGCTGCTGTGGGAGGGTGTGGTCCCTAGCCAGCAACCCTTGAAGCCTGTTCGAAGAGTGTTTCTCCTCTGTTCTCACCCAACTCTGGTTCTGTCTTTAGTGTTGAGAACACCCGACTCTACCCCTGGAGACCTGTGTGCATTCTAACCACATAGTTTGCTTAGAAGACTAGGTTCCCAGAGTGTCTTACCTGAGTTCCCTAGAGGTAGCACTCCAAGGAAGTCAGTGATGTTCAGAAGAACTTGTCAGCTAAGACTTCTGGGACATGAAGCTATTTACAGAGAAAGGGGTAGGACTGGATGTGAGGGTAAGGAGCCAGAACAGAACATGAAATGCTCCAAGGAAGCTCTGTGGAAAAGGAGGCCAATGAAGGATAAGGGTAATTGTCACACTGACAGTACAGCCTTACTTAGCCCTTCACTGGTGTGACACCAACAGTACAGCCTTACTTTACTTAGTCCTTCACTGGTGTGACACCGACAGTACAGCCTTACTTAGTCCTTCACTGGTGTGCTCATCCTTAAAAAACACAGCAGCAGAAGATAATTTCAGAGTATTCAAAAAAGTTTTGGGTTTCCAAGAACTTTCGGTGCTATCTGTTGCCCCAGCACCAAGAGCAGCCTGAACCGTCGCAGGAGAGAAGTCACTGAGGAAGGTGCTGGAGCTTGTATGCTTGCATGGAGTCCGGAGAAAGAATAGCCAGTGAGCTCCCACACACACCCTTGGAAATGGATCCCGAGTGTCCATGAGGGAGTGTAGACCTGAAGGCCGTCCTTGTGCAATGCCAGGCTGTGGAAGTGGTACAGCCCCAGTGGGAGACAATCCGGTGGTTTCTTGAAACATGAAGTAGATGTACCAAGTGCCCAGCAATTCCGTTCCTAGGTAAATACCGAGGGAATTGCGACTGGGAACTCATACAAGTGGTAGCATTATTCACAGTAGCCAAAAGGTGGAGAAGTGTCCATCAACAGAGAAGGGATCAGTAGACTGTGGTAAGTAAGTTATTCAGTGGAATGCTGTTCACACGTGGAGAGGAATGAAGTTCTGATACATGCTGTAACACAGGCGATCCTCCAAAACTTTGTACTAAGTGACGTAGCCAGACGTTTGTGTGAAATCGGAAGAGACAAAAGCATTAGTAGGGTGGGCAGAGAGAAATTATTAGGGTAAAATGAAGAGTATATCACTGGGTACAAGGCTTCTTTTTGGAGTGATGGAAATGTTTCAGGATACAGATGTGGTGGGTGGTTGCAAGTGGATGTACCAAGTGCCATTCAACTGTTGACTTTTGAAAAAAAGTTATGGGACTTTCATAGTTTAAAAAAAAAGTGTTTTCTTTTTGTTTTTTGTTTTTTTTAACAAGGTGGCTGACATCTCTTACCAGTATAAATAAGTGATACATTTGCGTGGTACCTGTTACCATTGTGGCTGAAACTATGTTCTCTGGTACAATAGCCCTCGGCTTCTAGTAATATCCACTTAGCATTTGACATGCACACCCGACTAAGGAATATTTTAATTAAAGATGTTTTAAAATCTTTTACCTGGTTGTTGTGAGTGGTGCATACTTTTAGTCCTAGTTCTCAGAGATAGGAGAATTCATGAGATCATGAATTCAAGGCTGTCTGGACTACATACAAGACCCTGTCTCACAGAAGCGGGAGAGGGGTGCTTGAGGGGCTTGAGAGATGGCTTAGTGGGTAAGAGCACTCGCTGTGCAGGCATGAGGACCTGAGTTTGAGTCTCCAATGTCCATGTTGTGGGTGTTTGTTTTTTAATAAAAAACAACAGCCCAAACCAGGCATGGTTGCTTGTGTTTGTAATGGGGAGTGGGGGCAGATCCCAGGAGCTCACTGGCCAGCTAGCCTAACTCCATAGGGTGGAGAGCAGTAGAGGAACATTACCCAGCATTCTCTGTTCTCCACTTGTGCATACAGGCATACACACTTGTTCATGTCCATGCAACATACATACATGCACAAAAAGCCTGAAATGTAGTACAGTGGTGATTACTTCTCTGGTATACACAATGCCATAGTTTGATCCTGACTGCTACAAAAACCTTTGAGGATTTTTGGAATAACTTGAGCATGTTCCTGTAGTTAGACATTCTGTGAAATTAAAGACAGATAAACTATTTCTAATGATAAAAGGGTTAGGATTCATCATGAATTTTATTAGATTTGCTGAGTACACATGTGGACCTGGCATAGGGTGAGCCCCATCCTATCCCCGCACTCTAGACTCAGAAGTAGACCTCTCCCTTCCTCCTGGCAGATAGCTATAATCCACTCTCTCCTGCGGGACAGACCAGTGACTTGTCCTTTGTTCCAGTGCTTACCATGCCTGTGGAGCATCGGTGTGGAGTTGAGTCTGGTCTGTGGGGGACAAAGGTCTTCTAGCAATAACTGAACTGCAGACACACTCGGTCTGCCCCTGCAGTGCTCCTGGCAGGCTGGTAGCTGAAGGAGGCTCCACTTCACACAGCCCTGACTTACGAGATCTGTCTTTATCTTAAATAGGCACAGCAATGTGTATGTTCCAGAGCCTGGGGGTTCTGATAGTCTCTTATTGTAGATCTCATGATTGTTACTCCTAAAGACAAAAGGCTCTCTTTCTAGCAGTTTGCAGTTCTGTAAGCACCTCAGAATCTCTTCTGGAGTAGAGAAAGCTTCCTACTCAAAGGTTCTTCACCGCTCAGGCTTGGTAAAGATAGAGCAGAATTCTCAGCGTTAGGGTCTCTGGGGCTTATTTAGGGTTCCCACCTCATAAGTTGCACATCACTTTTAGGCCAGGGGGCCGGGATATCTAGAATAGCTTTGTTTTAAGGTGGGACCAAACAGCAGAAGTCATTTTCTGGTGGGGCTGCCACCGTAGGCAGGTGCTCCTCCCTATTTAAAAAGGTGGTTTTCTGTCTTTGTGTGTGTGGGTGTTTGCCTGCGTGTGTGTGTCTGCACCACATATGTGCAATGCTCACAGAGACCAGAAGAGGGTGTTAGATTCCATGGGATTGGAGTTATGGGCATTTGGGAGCCACCACGTAGACGCTATGACTCAAACCCAGGTCCTCTGGAAGAGCAGCCAGTGCTCCTAACCAGTGAGCCATCTCTCCAGCACCTCTTGTCTATTTTTATTCCCTTGTGCTTTGGGTATCAGGAGAAGTTTTGAGGTACTGATGTCATGTCATGATGACACAAGTTTTTGTGTTGTTTTTCTTACTCGTTTCTGAAAACCTTCACTGAATGTTCCTGTACCGCTAGCCTATCCTCCTAGATATTGTGGACTGACCCCAGGATTCTAAAGGTCAGCCTTAGCAGAATATTTAACTATGTAAAGATGTGTTGCTGTTTTACCTTGCCTGCCCAAGGCACCTGATTGATCTAATAAAAAGCTGAATAGCGAGGGAGGAAGTATAGGCGGGACTTCCAGTCAGAGAGAGTTAAGTAGGAGGAGGAATTTAGACTGGGGGGTCAGGGGAAGAGACCCCAGGGGCCAGCCAGCCAGACACGGAGGAAGCAGGAAAGTAGGACATACAGAATGGAAGAAAGGTAAAAAGCCTTAAGGCAAAACATAGATGAATAGAAACAGGTTAAATTAAGTTTAAAAAGCTAGTGGGACAAACCTAAGCTAAGCTGAGCATTCATAATTAATAAGTCTCTTGTGTCTTTATTTGGTAGCTAATTGGTGGCTCAAAGAAAATGCCAGCAACCCTATCCCCCTCTGTGAGCACTGAACGGTTTTATCCTGTCAGAGCCATCATACTGTGTGGGCAAACATCACACCTTGCTCCACTCTGATGAGTCCAGCCAGTGACCATAAATGATAACTGCCAGTGCCTCCAGGGTCTTGTGTGTGTCCCTTTGACCAGTAGCCTCAGGGAATGGTGTGCCCTGCGTCTTATACTGTGTCCCTGTCACCGTAGCAGCTTTGCTTGAATACCAGCTTTGCAAGATGCCTCTGATGTTCTCTGTTCTACTCCAAATTCCGCTTGGCTTCTGAGTTTCTGTGCTCATGGGATAAGTTTTACAGATTCCAATACTAAGGGCTGCTGCACGATACTGTTGTGCTTGACCACAGTGCGTCTAGACTATCCTGCAGCTTGAGTTCAGCTCCTCCTGGGCTCCTCTCTGGACCATTGGAAGTAAGGACTGGGGCTGGAGGACTCCTGTAGGTACCAAGGAGGAAGAACAGGCCTCTGGGCCCCTAGTCATAGGAGGAATCTTTGAAAGATTCTGTCATTTATTGGGTTACACCCTTCATCTCAGAAGTCCCACCTCCCCTAAAGGCAGCAGGAGATTGTGTGTTGCTCTTGGAAGAAAGAAAGATCATTGCCAAGGGAGAAACTTGATTGAGCTGGGCAGAGACAAGACCTTACCAAGCAGGGTTTTCCATGGTGGGGATGCAGCAGCATGGGAAAGCCTAGGGCCAGGTCCTGTTGGATCAGAGAATTTTAGGAAACAATGTCTGCCTAGTAAGCGTGAGCACATGTGGTAGACAGTATGCTGACTCTAAGGACTAGTATCTACAGGATACCCTCAACATGACCCCTGGCTCAGAGGTTCCTTGTGTGATTTCATATACCTACTCAGACAGCCACCTTGCCTTTGTGTAGGTCTAAGCTCAGCCTGGGATATCTGCCCCTCGCATACTTTGCTCTGTCCCCAGCCCAGTATGCCTGTCCCCTAGTCGGCCCTGTCCACAGTGCTAAGTATTCTTTCCCCAGTGGCTTGGGCTGTTTCCTGCCATGCTTGATAGTTTTTTCCCTGCTTGTCCCAGGTGAACCTGAGCAAGGTTGGCGAGTACTGGTGGAGTGCGATCCTGGAGGGAGAAGAGCCCATTGACATCGACAAGATCAACAAGGAGCGCTCCATGGCCACTGTGGACGAGGAGGAACAGGCAGTCCTGGACAGACTCACCTTTGACTACCACCAGAAGCTGCAGGGCAAGCCGCAGAGCCACGAGCTGGTATGAGCACCGTGGCTCTCCTGTACCATCTGCAGGCGGGTGGGTCGTGCTGGTGGGGAAGAAGGCATGAAGATAAGTTTGTCCTGGCTTAGTCTCTGCTGCAGTTCTACACTGTCCTGCCTAGGAAAGCCCAGTTGCTCATGTCTTCTATTCCTTACCTGAGAACAGCTGCACACTGCTACTCAGCCACATCTCGTACCTGAGCTGCAAGCTCTGGTATCACAGCTTTGAGAGTGTTTGTAGATGTGCCCTGACCACACCATGGCCTAGAACTGTTTAGTTTTGGTGGCTCCCACTGGAGCCTTAGAGCCCCATTGGTGGAAGTCGGAGGGAGGGCCAGGCTGCGGGGCCCACTTAGGTTCTGATACAACAGCCAATGCAGAGCAAATAGGTAGGTGGGTGAGTGAAGTGCTGGGGCTATAATGAGAGAGTATGAGGTCAGCAGCTTCTGGGAGAGCAGAAGGCTGGCTCTGACCTGTGTAGTGCCCCAGGGACAGGCTTCCGGTGCCAAAGAATGATTGCTTAGATAAACACATTTTGTCTGTCCTTCCTTATAAGAATCCTGAGAGTAGCTACTTAGGGAAGAAAGGCTTTTGCCTCCAATTCTTTTCACTGTCAAGTGCCCAGCCATGCAGCACCTAAGCTTTTTGTGTGTGTAGACCAAGCATGGGTCAGACAGGGATCACCAATGGTGTATTTTTGGACAAAAACACGGAAAGCCAGCCCTCAGGACCCTAGAGGAGTTAGTGTGTGTTTCCTGTTGTCTCTGAAGGAGCCTTACTTCATGGGTTGTGTGAATTGTCCCCTCCTTCCCTTCAGAGTAGCGTTGTACGTGGGAGCAGGTGTCTTTGATAGCTTCTTTTGCTGCATTGGCCACTGGAGTGTCTTTTCAAGGACACGTCCCTGTGAGTAAGGTCAAGAAGCCTTTGAAGCAGTACTGGCGTCTTTACCCTCTTCCCCCAGGCCCCTACCAGGACATGTCCTAAGCATGCACTATGCTGGGCAGAGTAGGTTGACTGGCTGTAGGCTCTGCACAGCAGCCCTGGTTATTGGATGGTCTGTTTTTCACAATGAGGAGGTTGAATTTTTGATGTCTCAATATGATTGTGTCTCAGAGCAGCTCTAGCAGAGGGGTTGGGGTTTGCTTCTCTGTCCTGCCCCTGAGTGAGGTGAGGGGAAGGACATCTTTGTGGGTCCATGCACGCAGAGGTCCTTAGGTAGCAACTAGGAAGCTTAGAGCCCTCACCTTAGCAGAGATCGCCAGACCTGCTTGGTCACACTGTAATCCAGTCATGGTGGCCTTTGTGCACTGGTCAGAAGGTTGAGTCCTTACGGATCTGCTCACTCCTGTGTGCAGGACCAGGGCTTTGTCCTCAGAAGGACTCAGATGTGTATGTAAGGTGGCTGCCAGGGGAGAGTGTTTTGAGTAGAGAGGTGACTCCATCATCCTGGGGGAGGTGGAAGGAGGAGCCACCAAGTACCCCTGAGAAGCTTGTGCCGCAGACTGGACAGACTGGCCGTAGAGAAACACTGGAATAGATAGTGATTGTGGCTTGAACTGCCTTTGTGTATTAGCCACACCTCAGGACGTCTTCTGTAGACTGTGACTGAGACTTTAGAGGAGCTAGAAGTTCTCCAGCTGTTGGCACCTCTTATTCTCAAGGTCCCTGGTATCATATCCCTTGCAGGACACACAAGTGACAACAAACCCATTGTCATTTGTCTGGAGTTAGCAGCAGTGCAGGCCCCCCCCCCCCCCCCCCCCCCCCCGTCTTCTTCCGTCCCCTGGATCCCTGCACTCACTGTTTGCGCACATACACAGCTCTCCTTTCTTCCCTTGGCGCTGGTGCCCTCTGGCATGGCCTAGTATCTCTTCCTCAAGGACAGATGGAAAACACTCAGTCTGTATCAGTGAGGGCAAGCATGCGACTGTCTCCGAGGAGTTAAGAGACCAACCTCTTGAATCTGATCTTATCCAGAGAACAGTTCAGCCTTGTTTTTCAGTCTCAACAACGGTCCTCTGCAGGAGCTGGCTGCTTTGTTCCCATCTCTGTAGGTCTTAGATCTTCTTGTTCTAGTGGCTACCTCCCAGCCTGCTCTTCAGGGTTGGGAGTAGGGTAGTGTACTTATCTCCAGTAAACAAAGGCCTCCAGGAACCTCACTGCTAGTTTGAAACATGCTGGCAAAAGGATCAAAAGATAACAGTGCTAAACATGTGTGTGCACTGTGCACATGCACACTTAATGTAGCATCCCGTGCGTGACTTGCTGCTGGGAAGCTGGCTCACTGCAAAGGCAAGGCTTTGGGGGTGTCCTGTGTTGGCTTTCTATGAAGACCGCCCTCTTTGCCCACAAGACATTGCAGAAACTGAGTGTGGAACGGAAGGTTCTTACAACTGTGCATAGAAGACTTGTCCATGGCTGGTGAGCAGCTTCCACACAGCTGTTTATTATCCAACACTGAGAAACTGAGGAGACTGAACAACAACCCCAAGAAAAACCTTGAAGATGCTGTGGTCTAGGAGAAAGAGCTTTGCCTTGAGTTTACATTGATTCTGCCGTGGACTTGCCGTGGACCTGGCAAGGACCATAGAGAAATGAGTGTGCTTGTCCAGATGAGCTGCCCCAGCAAGGCCTTCAAGGAGCCTAGGGCCAGCAGTGCATGGGTAGAATACAGTGTGATTCCCTCGCCAGAGCGGAACTAATCAGGATGGCCGGGGAAGCCTCTGGCTATGGATAGTCGTGATACAGCCCTGTAGCTGTTAGGGCTGTGTTAACTCTAGCATGTCCCACTACCTGGCTGGTGTCAGTGCTGAAGTCTCAGCTCCTTTATAGGCTTGAAATGCTTTGAAGACACATCTTCAGTGTACAGCACTCTGGGGTTCCATGTAAAGTATCTTCAGCATCTTCTTTTATTGAACAAAGAAACAGAAGTAGAAAGGGAGGTCCATGGCCTTAGGTTTCCTGATACAGCAGGTTAGCCACATAATCAATACTCGTATGCCGGGGTTTTGTGGGTGGTTGAGGTCACTTCTCTAGGATTGCCAGTCCTAACTAAGAGAGAGAGAATGGAAATGGGGCCAGGTTCTTCTATCAGCCTCCATCTGCTATGCGCATTGGCAGCCACAGTTCCCAACGTGCTCTGTAGTGATGCCCATTTATGGTGTAAACTTGAAGTTTTCTAAATTTGCCAGAATTTTAAATTGTGCTTCTAATGCCACCAGTGCTTTGTATTTGAAGCATTTTAATTTTGAAGTGGTAATATACTTCTTCTGTCGTTCTGAAGTCTTTAATGTTGCCATTATGTCACGTCTTTCCAAAGTGGAAATGGAATGTTCTTCATCTCTTCCCTAGTGAGATTCCTTCGAGCAGGTGTTCATCTAGAAGGGGTTGAAGAAGTACACAGGTGCCATTGCTCTGTCTGCACTTAGATGTGTCTGTCTAGGATCCCTCCAGCCTGGTGGCACTTACCCTCCAACAAACAGTGACTGACGTTGCCCAGGCAGGTGCCAGCATTTCCTGTGAGTGGACTTGGTGGCACACAGGATGGTCTGATCTCGACCTGTGCTCTGCAGAAAGAGCCGAGCATTTATCTGGGCATCATGGGCTCCCTCGATTGTGAAAACAAATCTCACAGCCTGCCCTTTGCCCTCTGGGCTTGCTACAGTGGGTCCCCACCCAGCCACCAGGGTCTTAGAGCTGTTGTTCACCCTGCAGCTGGCTGGGCCTTGGTTATCTGGCTGGTCTCATCTTGGGTTTGTTTGAAATTGTACAGGTCACTTGTCTCATGGGCAAAGATGGAAGTCTGCTGTGCACTAAGTATCTTTGATGTGCCTGTTGCTACTTCACTTAGGTTTAAAAACAAACAAAACCTCTCAGCAGGAAGCTTGAGTTTTGTTTAACAGTCCGTCGTTCTGAGAATCCAGTGACTGTGCTGACAGTGGCAGTTTTCCACTTTACTTTCAGTCTGTCATCTTTGTGATAAGGGAAGCAGCACCTGACCTCTGCACCTGTTCTGCGGGGCTGTCTCCAGCAGGCCCTCCACTGGGGGGTAATGTCTAGCCACGCATCTTGTTAGTCTTTGTGGTTTTTTGTGGTTGGAAGACAGGGGAGAGTGCCCATCCTAGGGCACCTTTGTGGTGGCAGCTGAGGAAGGCAGATGCTCAGAGGAAGGCTAGCCCATCAGCAAGAGCAAGGTACAGGTGCTGCCCTCAGGGGCACAGCCTCCCAGCTTGTCCTGGCTGTAACTACACAACTCCAGTCTGCCTCTTACCTTCAAAGGCTAGATAGTTCAACAGAGGCCATAGGCTGGGAGGAGCTGAGTCCATCGGCTCTTACTGTGTCCTCAAAAGTCAGCAGGGCGTTTCTGACTGCCCCTTCCACAGCTGGATGCTTTGAGGTCTCTCCCCTCTGCAGCATCACATTTTGGGTCAAACCTATATTGTCTGATAATGCATTTCTCAACGACAAGAACTTCCTTGGGAAAGGGGTGCTAGAACACCTCTGCACACCTCAGTTGTGTCCCTGTGGGCCTGAAGCACCACCCCTTCCTATCTTAATCATCTCCCTGGAGATTACTGTAGGTTCTGTGGCATTTGGATAGACTTAGTGGGAAAGGGGCAGAAGATGAACCATACAGAGCAGTTACTGCTTTACTGGAGGCTGAGGCTGGAAGGCTAGAAATTCAGTTTGGGGAGAAGAGTCTTGCAGAGGAATTGGCAGTCACAGGATGCCGACCTTGGGCACAAACCACTGCAGGGCCTGCAGTCCTCTGGCCAGTTGGTCCTAGCAGGTAAATCCTCAAGCCCTGAGGAGGCAGGATGGCTCTGTGCCTACAGGCAGTCTGTTCTAGGAGAAAGCATGCAGTGCCTTGTGATCTCCTTTAATCTCTCTATTTTCTGTTTGTAGAAAGTCCATGAGATGCTGAAGAAGGGGTGGGATGCTGAAGGCTCTCCCTTCCGAGGCCAGCGATTCGACCCGGCCATGTTCAACATCTCCCCTGGGGCTGTGCAGTTTTAATGACCAGAAGGAAAGGAAACCCTCATCATTGGGGAGGTGGAGACCTTGCTCCCCTCACTCCCTGCGTGTCAGGGACTCGCTCCTCCTGATCAATCCTCATCTTTTCTTTCCTGATGAACCAGGCCTTCCCTGCTGACCTCGCACCTTCAGACTGTTGTAGAGAAGGTGCATGGCCAGCTGCTGCCAGGTAGTCTCTATGGCCAACCCTTTTGGTGTTTGAAATTAGGGAGGGACATGTCCCAGCAAACTGGGAGCACATGCTCTGTCTCCACAGCAACCAGCCACTGCAGGCAGCATTTCCTTCCTCCCCTGTTCTCTCTGCTTGCTGTTGTTTTGACGCTATTCTGCTTGCTTGTCTTCTGACTGGGGCTAAGGAATGACTAGGCTCTCAGACAAAGCTAAGTTGAAGTGTGGCCAGGCACTTGCATGAGGGCAAAGGGGGCATGGCCTTGGAGCTGCTTCTAGGCTGCTGTGGGACCTCACCTGTTGAGACCTGTGTGTGTGTGTGTGTGTGTGTGTGTGTGTGTGTGTGTGTGTGTTCACTCTTGCTCATTTCTTTGTGAATACACTTAGCCAGCCTCAGCTTCATGGGCAGCGCAGCAGAACCTGGGGTCTGTTTGCCTGGTGGAGATGTGGGGAGAAAGTCTGAGGTTCTGGTCTTTGGCCCAGCTGTGGCAAGGAGACTGTCTCCTTCTGACTGCAGCGGCCTGGCTTTGGTTCTTGCTGAGGTGATCCGAGCCTAGCCACCACTACTTACTCCATACAAGACCTCCGCTTGGGTGTGCTGCGGGAAAGCCTGGGTACCTTCAGGAAGAGATCACAGCATGTTAGTAGTCCATCGGCAGATCGTGTCACCCACATTCCCTAAGCAGCCTTGACCTTGAAGGGTGCCTCAGGAAGGAAAACTTATCCACTGGCATAAAGGCAACTACAATTGAGTCTAAGAAAATGAAGATTCCTGTGGGTTCCACGACTGTTTCACAGAGAAACCCTGTCTCAAAAAAAAAAAAAAGATTCCCCTGTGCCGATCACCAGACTGCTCCCTGGAGCTCAGAGCCTCTGTGACTGCAGACCACCTTCAGCCAGGGTGTGAAGACCTGACCAAGGAGCAGGGATCCAGGTGTCCCAACCCTTTCCAGGGCCCCTGTCTGTGCCTGTTGCTGCCTGGCATCTCCATTTGCCTGGCTTTGTCTTGGTGTGTGTGTACAGGTTTCTGTACTCTGGTAACCATACAGCCAGCGAGAATTAACACTCACCGAAGCCAAGGCAGCCTGCCCTCTGGAAATAGCCCTGTACCAAGTGTAGTTTCTATATGCTCGGAAGGAGCCACTGGAAGAGCGGGTTGAGGACTTACTTCAAGAAGCTTTCCGTCAACTGTGTAGACAGGAACTGGCTCACAGCAGCTGTTTGAGGGATTCCTGGTTTACAGTTGGCAGCTCTTGTAAAACGTCCGTACTAGGAGTTAATCTGTGGGTCCACATAGACCACACTTGTGGTCAGGGGAGAGTAGTGGGCCCCAAAGAGCAATTCTGGAGTCTGAGCTTGTGATTGGACATTGGTCACCAAGTTGATGAACTCTCTGAAGAGGTCACCCTTGGGAGAAGAATCTGTCACATTCACAAGATCCCCAGGACACTTGCGCTGCTTGTTCCTGAAGTTTCCATCAAGGTCCTAGGATTTGCACATGCCTGTTCCATGCAAGCTGTCCTACCTAATGAAGGAAGTCTCATGGTGTGTATGTATTTCCAGTCTTCTCTGTAATCCTATTGGCTCTCTCGACCCTCATCCTGTGGGTGGTCTTAGAGAAGAATACTGAAGTGTGAGAGCCCTGCATCTTTTTATTTGAGACAATGTTTCATTTCTGTGGCAACTTAGCTTCCTTCGGCATGGTTTTATTTTCTGTGTTGCATTTCTCCTTTGTCCTTGCCCTGTCTCCACAAAGAAGCCGGTGTAGAAAAAGCAGCCTGGGAACAGTGTTAGGTGTAGGCCATAGGGCAGGAACCTGTGCTCTGAGGGATCCCTGTGGCATGTATAGTGCATGGTGTGGTGGTGGCTGCTCCATCCACGTCTTCATCACAGTGGGGCTCAATCCCAGCCAGCCAAGTAGATAGTTCTTTGTCCTAAGGCACTGACTGCCCTGCCTTGCCCAGCCACTGAAACTGGCATATTGCCTGTTTTCTCTTTTTAGACATGACAGCCACAATTTGGTCTCTAAATCCCACCCGCTGAGGTCTGAGGAAGGCAGGGTGATTCCACCCCCTTTGTCCAAAGACGCAGGAGAGTTGAGTGTCCGGCGTACAAGCTGCTCTGGCTCCTTGGTGTTGGTTTGCAATAAAATCTGTATTTAAGCAAGTCTGGGTCTGTCTGTGACATTCACTGCAAGACACTTCTGAGTGGTCATTATCCTTGACTTCTAGCCATGAGTCCTGAGTTCCTATACATAGTCAGCACCAAAACTGAATTCTCTGGGTTATTTCTTATCTGGGCTGTCACTACATATAGAAATTCTGCCGGGCGGTGGTGGCGCAAGACTTTAATCCCAGCCCTCGGGGGAGGCAGAGCCAGGCAGATCTCTGTGAATTCGAGGCCAGCCTGGACTACAGAGGAGATCCAGGACAGGCACCAAAACTACACAGAGAAACCCTGTCTCGAAAACCAAAGAAAAAAAGAAAGAAAGAAAAATTCTATAAGCAATTAATCAGTTGTATTATTTCAGGCAGGTTCTGGGTTTCTGTTGTACCCCAATGATGTATCCAGTCCATCATTGAAGGAAGTCAGGGCAGGGACTCAAGCTGGGCAGGAGCTAATGTAGAGGCCATGGAGGGGTGCTGCTTACTCAGCCTGCTTCCTTATAGAACTCAGGACCATCAACCCAGGGATGGCACCACCCACAATGGGCTGGGTCTTCCCTTATCACTAGTTAAAAAAATGCCCTATGGGCCTGTCTACAGCCAGATTTTGGAGATACTTTTCCAACTGAGCTTCTCTGCTCTCAGATAACTATAGCTATGTCAAGTTGACATAAAACTAGCCAGCACTATCCCCTCTCACTGTTTACCGGCTCCCAAGCCCTTAGAACATAGGCCGTCACCAGTCCATAATCCTGTATCTGACTCAGAATCCGCTCAGGTCTCAGACTGTTCTTTCCTGTGCTCTACCCTATTCCAGAAGATCCATCACTGACCCTGCTTACTCTCAATAGGCAGGGCCTGTGGGCTTGAAAATTAGCTTCTTAAATGAATGAAGAACACTGGAATGGCCCATCTAATTCCTGGGACCAGAAATAACCTTCCAATAAATAAATAAAGTAAAAAAGACATCTTCATTGATTGGCCCTGAGAGTGCATGAGTGAGCACAGTCAAGCATTTTGTGTGGAAATATGTCCAGGAGGCGTCAGCTGCTGTGCAGAGAACTCACTGGCCAGAACACTGTGCTTGGGGAACAGACCCTCACCCCACCTCAAATCTGCTCCTCTATCGGGCCAGCTGGCAGCCAGCTCAGCCAGGAACTGAATGGCCTGCTTTTATGAGTGGAAAGCATGGAGGTAGTACAGAGCCTGGCCAGTCCCCAGTAAGCTCTCCTGTTTGGTCAGTGGCCTAGTGGCCCTGCTCAGCGGTGCCCCGATGTAAAGCTGGGTACTCCCAGAATGAGGACTGGCTATGGCCAACTGCAATTGATCTCCCCTACCTGCCTGAAGGTCTGGAGAGTAGATGTCTGAAACAGCTTACTGCCCAGGAGCTTTACCGGGCGGGCACCCGAAGACACTGCGCGGGTGTGGTCTGGAAGCCTGGGGTGCCTCCTCTCCGTCTTGCCAGGTGTTTCTCCAGTCACTGCCAGGTGAGGAGAAAAAATCCATATTCTTCCTTTTCAGATTCAGCTGTTCAAGGTGTTAAAAAGTGCTTTATTTTTGGTTTTCTTTCTTTCTCTTTTGTGTTTGTTTTGTTTTCTTTTTTGAGACTGGGTCTCACTGTGTGGCCCTGGCTGTCCTGGAACTCACTCTGTAGACCAGGCTAGCCTTGAACTCACAGTGTGATCTGCCTGCTCTGCCTCCTGAGTGCTGGGATTAAAGGTGTGCACCGCCACCGCCACCACCACCACCACCACCACCCGGCTTTTGGTTTTATTTCTTAAGACTGAGAATTGACTTGTCAAATAGACAGAGCCCCAGCATACCTGAGCTCTCAGTGTTGGACCTGCTGTCTATCCCTTCACAGTGAAGAGCCCAGAGTCCCCACCGCACATACAGAAGACCTTGTGCCAGGGAAAGCAGGCTGCCCCCTGCACCCCGGTGGCTCCCTGCTGTCCCTGTGGGGAAGCAGGGCGGGGGTGGGGAGCAGAGCCCATCACAGGGCCAGCTCACCGTTGTGACTGCAGGGATGGTGTGCAGAGCGGGAACAGAGTCATACCCAGCCCAGACTGTGAACATCACGGCAGGGTCAACCTCTGGATCACTGGGTAGACTTCCAGCGGGGAAGTCGCCTTGCCTAGCTTCCTCTTGCTTTTCCATACGAGGTTTTGCAAAGAGTTGGACAAGGACTCAGGGACGTCCTTATACCACTCTTTATGCTAGTTACAGGAGCAAGTAACCCCCAAAGTTGTGTGACCTGTGGCTACTTTTTCTGTCTCCAGTCACCTTCATCACCCGACATAAGACTGGCACAGGCGGCTTCTCTCTGGCCCCAGTTGTCATTTTTCTGAACTCTCAACAACCTAGAGAGGTGCCTCACTGGCTCCCCAACCCTTTGCTGAGGAGAAGAGTCTACTTTTTGGTAGAGGCATTGTATAAGGCCACCAGAAGACAGGGCTTAGAGGTGGCCTTTCCTGTAGGCAGAGGAGCTGCTTTGTTGTAGATCCATGGTGGAAGCTTGACTAGCAGAACTGGGCTCAGGGCCATCTTGCGACCCAGTGGTGCCAGCGTGGGAGTTTGGGAGCCCCTCAGTAGTTATCTGTGGAAACTAATGGCCTTAGATATGGACCTCCAGCTCATAGGACACCGGTCATACATAGTGGCCCTTAGAGACTACAGACCAGACCTTGGCCATTGGAAGGTTCCAACATCACTGAGTGGCCACCACTCTTTAAAGGTCAGAGAAGTGATTTTTTTTTTTAAACTCCAAGGCAACATTTCTAAGCCTGACTTTGTGCAGAACATGATTGAATTCAAGGTGAGTTAGCTGACTTTGCCAGACCTACTCAGTCCGTCAGGCAGAAGGGTCCAGTCAAGCAAAAACCCAGGGTAGGGCTAGAAGGGTGATGACAGGCTTCATCTGGACAGTATCATCTCACTGCCCTCCCACTGTGGGGAGAGCCAGGTAAAGAAAGACTCAGACCCTCATCAGGAGCATCAAGGATGCCTTGTCCACTTTGTTCGGGCAGCAGGGCACCTGGGCCACAGGGTCTAACGTGGATACTGCATCTGCCTGCCTGCCACTCTTTTGCTCTCTGTATGTACCAGCCTCTCCCAGCGTAGACCAAAGTTAACCGCACACCTCTGTGCTGACATTCCCTAGTTCTGTACCTCATTGTTCCCCGTCCTTAGCTCCATGTGGTACCTGCTTTTTTGAGACCCCACCCCCCAAATCACGTGTTCCCTTATCCTTTAGGGCATAGACTGGCAGCTGCTAGCCTCTGGTCTTCCCAACACCTTTGAGAAGTCCAAAGCCAAGCCCAGCCCATCTCCCTGGCTGTCCTTCATGTGTGGTAGTGAGCATTTTTCAGAGGTGGTCCGCTCCAGGATGACAGGAGTCGCCGCAGGCTTTTGTTATCCCCAGAAACTTGAGGAAGCACTAACCGAAAGTGATGAAACCCGGAAAATGGACAACCCAGTGTTGTCCCTTGCCGCTTGTCTTCAGGAAGCTACCCGCGGTTGCAGAGACACCTTTATCTCTTGACTGACGGGCTCCTTCCAGCCTGCCCCGAGTGAGTGTGTCTCCATCCTGTTCCCTGGTGCCCTTTGCCCCCTCCATAACTTATGAGCTCTCCTGCCCTTCCAAAGGCCCCTCCTCCGGACCCCACTACTAGGACTTGGTTTCCCATGGGCACCTAACATCAACTCTGCCAGCAGATACTGCCCTGCCTGTGTGGCCATTCACAGGGCGGAGGTGGCCACTGCCCTCGTATCTGCTCCTGATTGAACCAGCAGGAGGTTGTTTGAAACATACGCATTGAAGCTTTTAAAAGATAATTTAGCTGGACCATTTGGTCACTTGCACTCATAAGGCGGGTCAGATTCAAGTGTGTCTTTCAGCGGTTCTGCAAAGGCACTGGTTCTAGGAGCCCACTGGGGAAGAGGAGAATTTGGAGAGAGAGCTGTAGAGACCGCGTGGCGTGGTTGATCGTTTTCTGAAGTAGAAGATTTGGAGCCAGTTCCAAGATGTTTCTCCTGGCCTGAGGATCTAGATGCTCGGTTGGTAAATGTGGCTGCACGAATGTGAGGATGAGTTTGGATTCCCAGACTCATAAAAAACGCCAGGTGAGGTGGTGCATGCCATGATGGTAGAGACAAAGGGTCCCTCGAGCTTGTGGGCCAGCCAGTCTCACCAAATAGGCAGGCTCCGGGGTCAGTGAGAAAATCCTGCCTAAAAAAATAAGGTGAAAAATAGAGGGAGACACCTGGTGATTGCAGACAGAAAGTTGACACAAGAAACCTGTCTAATAAAACACATCACACCTTACAGAATTAAAAAGTCGTTTGGACGCTGGGCTGTGGTGGTGCACGCCTTTAATCCCGGGCACTTGGAAGGCAGAAGAAGGTTTGAGGCCAACCTGGTTTACAGTGAGTTCTAGGACAGCCAGGGCTACACAGAAACAATATCTCAAAAAACAAAAACAAGTCATTTGCACTATCTGGACCCCCACCCGGCAGCTTCCAGCCACTCATATTTCTAAGTAGGCCCCTTAGTTTCACATACACTATCCGTAGCTCCTCGCTCTTTACCCTATAGTCTCATATATATACACTATTCCTTGCCTTCCCCTGTTACACCCTAGAGTTTTGTGACCATACTGTGGGTCTTGGAACTTAGTCCTTCTGAGGCCTGTAGCAGGTTGCAGAGGAACATGCTGTCCTTTAGAAACCAAGCGTTTGAGGCTGTGTATAAAATGGAAATGTATGGGCCCTTGTTCAAAATGATCAAGAATTTAACGTTTGCTAGAGCAGTGGTTTCACCGCACAGGGTCTGTGGCCACCACTGGGAGCCTCTTCTGGATGGACCCTTGTGCTGGGAACAGCCTGCCTTGTGGACTCAGCCCTGATCTTGCTGGTGCTGCCATCCCCATTTCCCAACCTCAGCAGTTTGGAATCTTAGGAACCCCCTGGCAGCCTTGTCTTTGCCCCAAGATGACAACCAGA